TACCCTTAGGAGTACGTGTACCCCCGGTTGAGAAATGCTGTTTTAAATAGCAGGCCTATACTTAGATCAAAAGAAAAGTTATTTTCCTTTTACAAATATCGTGGATCACTTTCTTAGAACTAACAAAGTCTTTGAATAAACATTTGCAAACTTACAGTTTGTTTGCATCTCAAATATTGACCACAGTCGGCTTTTCTGAATGTTTTATGAAGAAAATTAGAGCTATTAGCTTTACTTTTATACTATTACTTAACCAATTTGGTACATAAATATACTTAAACGAATGTTTACAGTTATAAAGAACCGTTTATAATATCAATTTACAGCTGCTATTGTTGTTTTCAAGGCAGAAATCCACAGATCTTGTTCTATCAAAATAGTAAAAAGATCCATACGTCGGCTTGATTTGTCACAGTGGCGTCNATTAAATTTCGTACACTTCAACATTTTTCTTAACCAATTTACTCAGCTAAATATAAATTAATATATTATTAAAGTATATGAGAATAAAAATTCCTCATTTCTACAGAATTTTACTCAATAAAAACTTGTTTCATCTATAAATTATGTAAGAATTGTAAATAATTCTAACATATAAAAATATACTAGAATTAAGGTAAATTATTTAGAAAAATTTAGAGAAAATCAATTTATACGTTCATTTAAATCAAAATTACTTATTAAAATATTAATTTTTAAGTAATTTTAGAAGGAAAAAATAAATAAATAAAACATTAACACATTTCTCTCATCACTTTCTCCATTTCGAAAAATCGTCATGCTGATAATAGCGAGTTGTCACAGACGTCACGTAGGAAATGTCGGCATAATAAATATTCATATGGTGAATGGGACCACCTGTTGAGATGGAAGATGAAATTAGGTTCCTGTGTTTATTTTTAATGTCTACGAAATTCCCTGGAGGAAAGAGCAATGGGAATAGCGACCTTCTCCCAATGCTCCCGGATGCAAGAGGGGAATAAGTAATTCTGAAAATCATCTGATTGATAGCCCGTCCGCATTATCAGCAAGACGTATATATATATATAAAAGACAAAATGACAAATTATATCAGCAACTGTCATCGTAAATCAATGTGACAATTTATTGAATATATATACATCAAAAAACTTTACTTAAAAAAAAATTCTATACAAAAATCATTTCTGAATTATTTTTTGCATGTTTGAGAGGTTGTTTCTAAAGTCATTTTTCTCTAGAATTTTTTCTAGAATTCAAACTATTATTTTTTTATTATTATTTTCTATTCTCAATGCCAAAAATTCTGAGCTTGAAGACGTGCGAAACGACGAGATTTACGATGAATATTCTTACATTTTCTACGTAAAATGCCATGAAATTAAATCGTATAATAAACTTAGAATTTAATAAACGTTAAACAAAGTTACAATTTAAAATGAATTAAAAATGATTTTACTGCGAAGTATTTTTAATCTTAGAAAATTATATAATTTTCTATTAATAAATTCGCCATACTTTAACCTCTACAAATAAATAATCACATTATAATATTTTCAATTCCTGTTATCTTTTAAAGTCAATTAGCTTAATAGGTAACTGTTAGGAAATGAATGTTTAACGAGGTCATGAATGTATTTCGATATAGTTATTGCGTTACATGAATAGTATATTATACTGATACGTCATATAACGTTTCTCACCTCTTCTATAACATCTATTTTAGTTACTTTGTTAATAATTTAGAGTAAAAGTGGACAGAAAACATAATATATTTTATCATATTATCCAATTTATATTAAAAATTACGAATTCTAACACTAGATGGCATTCGTTTCGATATAATATCCCATACTCAAAAAATCCAATTTAAAAAAGATATATTGGATATTTTAACGTCTTTCTAAGTAATTCTCCGTAATTTATAGAAAGAATACGAGAGAAATTATTTTAATGAATAGAGGATTGAAATTTATTCTAAAAAGTTACATTTTGTGATTTCGAATGTGTAATTATCTCTTTAAAAATCGAAAATATTTTTTTAAAAAATGGTTCAATTCTTCCTTTTAAATAAACTGGAAGAATGTCTGACCTAAAAATATTCTCCAATTTAGAAATTCTGCTTAAGTCGAAAGTTCAATTATTAATGATTCGTATTTTATAGTATCCTTAGGTGATTAATGAGTCATTAATGATACAAAAAAAAACACTAAATTAGATAGCAAAATGATCCTGACAGAAATAATAAATCTTTTCTCTTTAGTAGATTCTTTATAAATGTGTAAAGAAACATGTTAATTGTTATTCTCTAAACTTGACAAAGATGCTTTATCGATTGAAGTAGAAAATAAAATTCTTAAACAGAAAGGATAATATCTAAAGTTTCTCATTAAAAATTGGTGAAGGAATAATTCATAATCAATCAGAAAACCATGCTGATCCTTTATATTAAAGAGCTTCTTCAGCAGAATGTGAAGAAGGATTCTTCTTCTTCTTCTTCTTCTTCTCTCTCTTTTTTTTTCTTGAGGCAAGTCTTTTGTCCAACCCTTTTCAACTTTTCACATTGCTCTAGGACCACGAAAATTTTTCTTCCTTTATTTTATTATTTTTTTCCTTTACTTTCCTCGGGGAATTTTTGGATTCAAAGGCTTTATTCTACTTTGATCGAGGATTGAAAATCCCAAAACAAAAGAGGACGAGACTTTGAAAATGATAGGGTCTACGTTGATAGAATGAAGCATCAATCATAAAAATCAATTTTATAATTAACGATACGATCTCTTTTAACTCCATTTTTTAAAACCTTATTTTTTTAATGTAATAATTGTTATTAAACTATATTTTAATTTAAAAAAAAAGATTATTTAAGCCAAAGAAGGAGTGGAAAAGTAAAAAATCAACGAGAAGAATCGCTTATTAAAATAAAGATAAAAGACTGTTTGACAATCGATCCGTCGATGTCTTTTAATCAGTAATCGATCATCGTAATCGATATTTCTTATATAAAAATTTATTTCCTTTTTCTTTAAACAATAATTAACTTATTCTTCTTTAAAATCGATTTTTAATTTCTTTAATTAAAGAAGAATTTATATGCTTTATGAATTCATTCGGCAATTAATTTTATTATCTTAAACATTTTTTCTTTTTTCTTTCTTTCTTTCTTTCTTTTCCTCGCTATCGATTAACAATTTAAAGCATCGAAATGATCGTATTTAGCTTTAAAAAATGCATTATTTTTATTTAAAAAAATTAATTATAGCATTTATAAACATTAAAATTATAAATTTAAATGCTTCTTTCTGTTACTCGCTCGTCTCTGTTGATACGAAAGAGCAAAGCTTCATAAGTGAATTTTTATTTTAAATTTTTATAGTTTTTTTTAGATAATAAAATTGCTTCAGTTTAATTTCTATTCGTTAAAATTAGTTGATCAAAGGAGGGAAATTTATGCCAATTTCCATGTCATTTATGTCTCGAATTTCTCTTTTCATTCTCTCCTCCTCTTTAAACGTGTTACCTTGGTTACTAATGGAAAATGCATATGCATCACATATAACTTTGTTGCATAACTTGGGTGATGTAAAGACTCTATACAATATCGATCATCAGCCGCTTTTTCTAAATATATGACAAATATAAATCGATATCCTCATACATAATAAAGGCATAAACTCTACAAGAGACTCTTCCTTAATTAATAAGATATAATTACTTGTTTATGTTTGGCAATTTGCTTCGATCGAATTTATATTAATTAATTAAATTTAAATTAATATTTTAATTATATAATCTTATTTTTCACAGATTAAAAAAAAACCAAAGTCGAAGCGATTAGTTAGCTAAATATAGACGATTTTCGCGAATATTTTACTGATTAATTTAATTATTTTAATCGTTATTACGTAAATTTAATTATTTATAATAAGAAAAAGTCTCGTAAGATGAGTTTCGTGCATTAATTTATAGATTTTTTATCCTATAAAAAAAGAAAAAACAATGAAAATGTTTAGTTTAAAGCGGCGTAAAGAGCGGCTATTGAGTATTTTCTTCGTTCATTTTTTAATTATAAAGTAGAAATTTTTTGTAAAGACTAAAATAGATTAATAAAATTGTATTTTCTTCTAGTAATTTTGCCTTTAAAGATAAGATATCTATCGAAATTGAGCTACTAAACTGTAAGATGTAGCCTCGAGTGATAATTCAATTCTAATCTGTTCTTGTAACTTTCTACAAAGACAAAGTGACTTAACGAGATCATTTTCAAGCAAGAAGATTACAGAAAAATGAAGAAAATAGTTTTCTGTTTTGAACAGGAAAATAGTAACTATTTCCTCTTTTTTTTTCTTCCTTCCCTTTTCTTCCCTCTATAACTCTCCTGTTTAAAGATAAATTTGCAAGGTCACACTATAAAACAGTAGGGAATACTACTGCCCGAAGCTATATTTTAATTGGTTTTTAACTTTATTTTATTCATTTTTCCTATCAATTTTTTAAAATTTTATAAAGCAGAATAAAAATAATATAAAGCTTAAAAGTCAATAACAAAAAAAGTAAGTCGTGTTTACAGATAAAATTATACAAAAGGAATTTGAACGATAAATATTATAAAATTAATTCTACACAAAGGAAAATTGTCGGGAAAGTGTTTTAAAATATTAAATAACCCAAATGTAATCAGAAATACGAACTTTAATCGTTACAAATGCGATTAAATTTCCTGAGCAAATTCCAGATTAAGGATTAGAAAGTTTAGCATTTCATAGTAATTAAAGCAAAGACTTTATTTCAGATTTTTTAAAATACATTTTATAAATAAAATCTTATCATTTTTAATATAAAAAAATAAATTATTTTACTATAAAACGTTGTAGTTTATTATTATTATTATTATTATTAAAAAAATAATTTTAAAAAAATCCTTGGGAGGAGTTGATCTTGTATGTATTAATATAAGAGATTGTATCGTTCTGTTTAAAAATAATTAGTCTGTTTAAAAAAATGATTTTTATCGATCGTTCATCAAGAACGGTTGTTTTTCTTTCTCCTGTAGAAACTTTAAGAGTTATTCAAAGATAAAATTAATGCAAACAAGGCAAGCCTTTAGTTGCTAATTATTCTTAACTGGAAGAAAAAAGGGATGAAAACTTCAATATGGTGGACACACGTGTTTCAATTTTTATTTATATATCGGAATTTATTAGAATTTCTTTTTTAAATTTAAATTATAAAAAATTTACTCGTACAAAATTCCTATTAAGTTAATTAACGGTATCTTTAAAGGTTCACGTAATTTAGATTGTTTTCGGTGTTATATTGAGAATTAATTATAATTAATCTTTCTAAAGAGTAAGAGAAGACTTTTTTCTTAAAAACAACGAATTTTTTTATTGTTCTATTTGTCTAAAAACTTATTTTTTGTGTTTTTTTTTTACTTACAGATCCGCTTCGGAATGTATTTAAGGGTTCAGAATGTGAACTACTTTGACCTATGACATCAAATCAGCATGTCCATAGTTATGGTGACTCCCGCTGCAGACGACAGCAGAGTCGACTGTACACAACCTTACACTTCGGACCCCGTACAGAACGGAAATCTTCCATCGGGTGTCAGCATGGACGAGACGGGTCAAGACCCGGTGGTGCCCATATATAAGCACAATCCGCTGATGTTCGGGAGAATGCACTCCGAACCCGAACATTCGTTGCCCTTGGTGGAATTCAGACCCCTGGAACAACCGTCGGAAGGTGGCAGCACTTGTCAGGCCAGCCACCGCTCCTGTCCGGAGATAAGACCGGAAATCCACGTCCAAGCGAGCGAAGTGGAGAATGGGCAGCAGCAGCAGCAGCAGCAGCTGGAGAAGGAGGAGGAGATAGCGACGGTGGCTCCGCTAGCGGACGAAAGGCGCACTACACCAGTCAGCCGTCACTTGTGGACTCCAAACACTCGTTCGGGGCTGAGCTCTCGTCTGGAACACAGTTTCCTCACGCGTACGGTATCGCGCGAGAGCGTCCGTTTGTTGCCTTGTAACCTACCTGCGGACACTCAACCTCTAGTGGTCCCTTCAGGTGTGCCAGTCGCTTATCCGGCCCACCTGACGACATCGTTACGTCAGTTGCAACGGGACAACGAGATAGCCGAAATAGCAGCCGATTCTTTACGTATCAATGGGGCCCTCCGCCAGTTTCGGCAGCTGCGTAAGCCCACTTCGACCCTCTCCATACCGTCATCCATGAAAGGTCAGCAAAACTCTACCGAAACCGAGAATGCCGGGATCGCTTTGGTGGGCGTCACAACCGAGACCCCGAGTTGCAGGGCTGACGATAGGAAAAAAGGCAGCGGTGCCTTTCACAAACCCAACGTGGGCTACAGACTAGGAAGGAGGAAAGCCCTTTTCGAAAAAAGGAAGAGGATCAGTGATTATGCATTGGTCATGGCCATGTTTGGCATCATTGTTATGGTACTGGAAAACGAACTTTCGGCTGCAGGTGTCTATAACAAGGTAAGTTTTCCCCACTGTTTACTGAAAGGGGGTGGGCTACTCCAGTTGGGAACACTTTAACAACTTGGCTTAAGGCCCAAAAAAGAAACACGTATTAACATTTTACTAAACGTCATCCTTCAACTTGGCCACCGTTGTCCATTAAGGACACGCGCGTTTTTAGGAGAGAATGTCACTCGTCCTTGTAGGATGGAGCAGCCACTGGCAAAACGTCCCTTACTAGGAATAGAAACTAAGAGGTTATGTTGCGCAGAGAGAGAGACGGTGTAGCTTGCCAGAGAATTTAGTTTTCGCTATCTACAGCCAGCTCTCTAACTAAACGATGCTTGTTGTTGCCATTAGGATAGAGAACTCGACCGGGACGTATTTTAAAAAAGGACATATCAATGGAAGGGTGAAGTCAACACGATGACATCTTAATTATTCCCTGCACGTGAATTCGTCTCGGATGGAGGTCGTGCCTCCCTTCCAGCTATCTAACTATGCCTCAAACCATTGCCAAAATTAATTAGTTAACTTTCAGTGTGTACTGTTATTACGCTGCTATAACTTTATAAATAAGTTTAAAATCCGTCCGGAATCGAGTAAACAAGTTTAAAAAAGTAAAAAAAAAAAAAAAGTAAAATGTAAACGAGGAAGCTCGAATGTATTTTAAAGAGAGCATGCGTTAGACAACAGCTTGGCTCTTTTTCGATAAATATTCATGTTGAAGATGCTAGCCAAAAGCCTTTCAATCAATAAATATATTTCTAGAATTCAATTTAGTATTAATCAACTAAGTTTTTTTTCCTTCTTCTTCTCTTCTTTCTCGAAAGCCTCTTTCATCATTACATAAATAAGTTTCTTGTTAAGGAGAGAGCGAGTTCCTCTTTCAAAAAAAAAAAAAAAAAGAAATAATCTACATCTGTTCCTAGAAAACCGCATCATAATAATCATAATTGTAAGAAAATATACGGAATGGCTTAATCTTAAATTTTAATAATTAATTAAAATTTAAAAATTACAAAAATTTCTCCTTAGATAAAACTTTAATTTAAAGTTTCGCTTGTTATAAACTTTATAGAAATTTTTATCTTTCTCATTTCTTGCTAAGTTTGAAACGTTTTCTAATGCAAAATTATGCCTTTAAATTATTTTAAGAAGTAAAACTCTATTATCTAGCAAGAGCGGTGAAAGATGGAGAAAGAAGTGAATAATAATAATAAATGGCAAAGTATCGTCTCTACTAATTTTTTTTTCTTCTCTCAATATTGATTGAAATTGGTAATGTGGTTTTAATTGAAATGGTTAGAAATGAATTGCAATAATTCAGTTAAAGAATTTATCTGGTAAAATCGAGTTTCCAATTTTGATGTATCGGATAAAAGTAGGATAAGGAAGAGCATTCCTTTACGATCGTTGATTTTCTGATACTACATTCTCTTCGCATCCTTCTAAGCACTCGACCATATAGAGAAGTAAGATGAAGCGGAAAAAAAGCAGAGAAAATATCAATTTTATAACATAATTTTACAAGAATTTAACATATATAACGTTATATTTATGATAATATTTTAACATTAAGATCTCGAAATTAACCACGAATGAATTAGCCGAATTTTACATTGGCATCGCGTCTAGAGAGCGTGTAACACTTTCAGAATGACATTTAGAATAATTAGATCAGTAAACACATTATTTTTATCCAATTTTTGGCTTGTAAATAAGAATAAAAAATATTTAAAAATTAGCATTTTAAGTTCAAATTTTTTTACCTTCAAAAAATTGACTATTGTGTGGAGGTAAACCTCGATGTTTATACGTCTACACATTGAATTTTTTTTTTCGATATATTTAATGCCATTTTCTACGTTTTTACTTCGAATTTTAACTAGCATAATTAAAATACATCCTGCATTTCATTTTATGTAACTTTTTCTATCCTTAACAGCAATTAATATTATGAGTTTAATAACAATAGTATAACGTTAAGAGATATTGTTAATTTTATTAAATGTTTCTGTCTCTCTAGGGTCTAGGTATTGTTCGTGAATAATTTTTGCTTAAATTTAAATCAATAATAATCCCTACTGCACCCAAAAAACAATTAGTTTAATCGGATTTTATCTCACCTTTATTCAAAAATTTATCACGAAGAAATGAAGAATTTTCGCTATTGAATGAAATATATTTATTAAATTTTGATACGGAGACGTTTATCTTATATATTTTATGTGGTTTCTAAGTGATAAGTCATAATTTTCTATCATTTTTTATCACTTATATATATAGGAAGAGAGAGGCCTGATTCCGCATCCTCTCTAGATCCTAAAAGAAGCTGAAGATAGATAAACACTTCGCTTCTATTCTATTTATTAATATCTCGGGTATAAAGTAATTTCAAAAGGATTAAAACTTTCGGGTCTGTATAAAAGAATAGGAAGAGGAAAGATAAAATATTAAAAGAGCATTTGTCGACGTGTTTATAGATAAGCTTTACGACGAGCCGATAAAGGGCTTTATCTATTTGAATAAATATTAAAAATAATCATGTTTTAACTATAGAAAATAATAATGGTAATAATAATAAACAAAATTAAACGAGGAAAAATTTAAAAAATTGTTATTATTTGTCTTATAAATTCTTTTGTAGAAAGAAGCAGATATTGGAAAATGGAAATATAAACTCCTATGGGAGTATGCTGGTGAAATATCCTTGCAAATTCTCCATTGATTTGATTTAAAGCTATGATTTAGAGGTATTCTTGACGCCAAATCCAATAAAATGAATGCCATAACTTTGAATTTGGGAATGAATGGGTTTGTTTTTGCCATACAAGAGCACGCCCAAGAATTCTTCCATTATCTCTTATGTAAGAATTTTATTTCTCTTTCATGGTCGAAATTTTTATTTCTCTAAGACCGAAGTTACGTTTGTACAGGATATAAATAAATTTAAAGCATTATTAATAATATAAAATAATATTTTCTAATTCGTATTTGAAAGAAAAACCTCGAAAGTTATCGGCTTTAATTAAAATAGTTTAATGACAAAGTGCTGATTAAACTTTCTAGACTCTTAAATCGACATTTGTACAGTTGATTATTAGCATTCTTTGTATGGAGCCGACACCATTAGATACTTTGTCTGTATCTGTTAGCCTGAAGCTGCTTATTGACCATCTCCATATGGTTACATATTTAATGGCTATGCTTTTTTCTACGTCTCGCTCCAGGCATTTTAGTGATTTTTCAGCTTGTTTAAACTCATTTAAAAGTAATGAGATTTATTAGAATTTGAATTTGAATAAATAATAAAAGTCACGGAACTGTTAACGTGTTCAAATTTGTATACAATTAACTTTAATTATTAATATTAATAATTTTTTTAAGTACGTTATTGTCTGAATGATCGATTCTAACTTATTTAATCGAATTATATATGTTATGAGCGTGTTTCTTAGTAACAAAACTGTGATAAAAGTCTAGGAAAATCAAAGAAGATATTTTAAAAACCTTTCAGTCACGAAATGTTGATAACTGTCACGATTTTTTCCTTTTTTTTTACCTTTTATATACTGAATTTTCCCTCTCTTTTCACATCCGTTTTGGATACGTACTTAACAACAAACCCTTTTAAATATTTTATTATATTATTTATAAATCATCAAACACGCAAAATCCTATTGTTTTAATTCAATTTACGTGAGGGTTACACCCGTTTATTCGGGACGAAAATGCATATTTTATTTTTAAGTTAATTAAACGATTCGTCTCGCACAGTACGATGTGTTAATTAATATAAATAATAGAAAAATTCGAACGATTTCTATAATAAATAACTGGATAATCGAAAAAAAGCGCTTGTAATATAAATCCTTCTGATAATATTACGCATCTAATTCTAGATAAATGAAGAGATTATGATGCTGGCAGACATAATCTTCGATATAACATTCATCACTAGTGGCTATAGTTTCTTATTACTTCACCTCGTAACATTTAAAAAAAAAAAAAAAACTTAATCTATGCGAAACGGCATCGTTAAAATTATCGTTAACTGTCTTATTAATTGAATTACACTGTGTTTATTAGTATTTATAATTATAAATTAATTAAAAGACACTTCTTACAAGGAATTTATTTAAGAACAACCAGGATTCTATTAAGTGTTATATAATGGTAAATCAAGAAAGCTTAGTTACATATTAGGCGCAATTCTGGATAATACTACGATCCCATTCAACAGAGGAGTAGAGGATTACAATTCTGCCAACATCTGATAGCTTAACCATTAGTATATATCGGTTATTTAAAGAGATATACAGCTTTCTACCCAGTGTAATAATCAGCATCACGCAATTCTCTGTCAGTATAAACACTCCTAAAATTGAAGTTAAATTGGGATACTTTACACTATATTTTTAAAAATTCGTTAAAAATGTTGTTGAATATATATCGAAGGATAATTTTTTGGCACGCTTGTCAGAAATACGTCACGATTCACATAGGAAGAAAAAAGGAATTTTAGGCAGAATCTCGTGCCAATTCTAACCGTACAGCTGTGGGTTTTCTTTTTCTTAATATATATTAAGAATATATATATATAATTTTTTTTATATTTCTCTACTTCCGTACTTAAAAATCTTTATATTAAACCTTTGTAATTCTTCTAAAATTATCTAATTAATTTTGTAATTTGAGATTCAATTAGAATTCCTGATTTATCGTACGTGTTCTAATTTGCTGTGTAACCCAATTCTGAGCAAATATCACTGTATCTATTGATCATGTAAGTGAACCACAACACGATAGCGAAGAAAACAAGGCATAGTCGCTATAAAACTCGACCCTCCCCCTATACTTTCCTTTGCTATCCTTTGTTACTATGGTAACAGTGTCTTTCGTGAAAACCGGTAGTGATAGTAAAGGAGAACCGTAATGATGATCGGAAGCAACAGTTCTCGTAAAGAATATAGATAAGTGGATTATAAAAATATATATATATTCTACAAAAATAG